TAGGAAAGGTTAAGAACCATGTTTGTGCAGCTCCAGTCAGGGTTGTAGCAAATATCCGGTATATAATAGGCTCATCAATCCCCCTGTTATACATATCTGTGTCAAAAGCATCTATGTGAACCTGTGAGTTCTGGCTTCCATCATACTTCGGCAATTATGCCGAGTCAAATTCTTCTGGAAACAGGGCATTAAGAATATCCCCCGTGAAAGGACTATTATTATATTACCCTTTGCTATACTTCCTCCTATATGCACTAGTTTCACCACATTCTAGAACGTTATATGGAAACTGGGTATCCCGGTTGTGATATGTATCACCCTGGTTTCTCTCCACATTCCTCCCAGCTCTAGCATTCAGGGTAGGAAGTATCACATTTGTATTGCGAATGGTGTCTGGGTTATGATATTCGCCATTGTTATCAACTCGGATATGATGATTTGGGTTTATAGTTGTTCCAGTGTTAGCTGCACCTTGGACCTCATCAATCCCAACTTGGATTTGAGTATCCGAGATACGTCTGTAATACCCCGGATCTGGTCATTACCATTCCAAAGTTGACGTTTTCCACCGTGAACTTCCCTTTCACCTTGGATGTGACCTCCATAACGGCCCAAATTACTTGTTCGCATCAAATGCTCCTCCATCTCTTGCATTATTCTCTTATTTTCTTCTTGAGATCTCTTGAAATCCTCTGTGCTGGAGGTTGTTACGGCTCTCCATATCCTCCATCCGCCTTAAGATCGCAGCAAATGCGTTTTGTGCAAGGCAGGTATCTGGATCTACAACAAGTACAATGTGGGCAGCCACATCTGTAGGTGGATGAAGAAGATCCACAACTCGATTATGGGGAGCTGGTGTTGAGGCTGTGTCTAAGACGCCCTCACTCATATGGACAACATCATAATCAACCTCGTTCTCTAGTTGATTTTGAGGTTGATTGACTTCTTCCACCACAGGATCCAATGGAAGATGTGGGTGTGGTGGCAGTTGACCGCTACTCCTTGTACGAACCGCCATTGTTGCTCGTGATCATGGGAATAACAAATTTATCATTTTTCCACAGACGACGCCAATGTTCTGTCCTGAAGACACAGATGTCTAGAACAATAAGCTAGTATGTTACTTTTGGATCTAGGTGCTCTCTAAGGTATCTATGAGTTAGATACCCTAGAGCCAAGCAGATCACTGTATACAGAAGAACAATAAATAGCTTTCGCCAAAGGGGTGGTGTGTGTACACAGTGACAATATAACAGTAAGAGAGAGAGTGTCAATATACCTATAGGTTTTACCTCTTATTTATGAAGTTTACCTGTGGATATTGGATTCTGGACTTTTTGTGCCTTTCCTAGCAGCCCAAGCCCATGTATTATGCTTTCATATTAGGATTGATATCATTCCTTAATTATATCTGATTTATATTTGGATTGCCTCTTGTTGAACTTAGCAATAAATGGTCTTATATATGGGTCCATAACATGAGGAAGGATATTGTGACAACCAAATTGTGTTACTACCAAGTGACTACCAATCAATCTTACCGTTAGATCGATTATATTGATCCAACAGTTATATTTATTTCCATCTTTGTATGGTCATGATTCCCCAAATTTAATACTTTATATTTATTTTCACCTTTGTATGGTTATGATTTCCCATATTTAATGCTTTCACTTCAAATATGGGGAATCATGATCATGCAAAGATGGAAATAAATACAACCGTTGGATCAACATAATCGATCTAGCAGTGAGATTGATTGGTAGTCACTTGGTAGTAACACAACTTGATTGTCACAATATCCTTCCCCCATAACATATAGAAAGGAAAAAAAAAAGATAGAACTCATTCTTGTTTTGTATTTGTGGCTGCAGAAATAGTTTCTGCCTCAACTGCAAAAATCATTTACCCTTTTTTAAAAGCGTATTTTCAAAATAACTCACACATATTTATATATATTTAATAATAAATGGGATGTTTATTATAATTGCTGCGAATTTCCTTTAAGTTTCATTTTCAACTTCACTGTTCAAATGGGCAGCTCATAATAAATTCAAGCCACCAATTCTTTGACATCAAATTAGCATTTCTTTTATTAATAAAGGGTAGTTAATTAATAAAATTATATATATATATATATAACTTTAAAAAAATTTAAATAAGAATATTTTATAAATCAAAATTAGTTTATATTTTTTTCAGGTTCATAAATTGAATTTTTAAACTGAATATCTGATATCAATTTGTTTCGTGACTTACTTTTTACTACAAATAATAGTGAGAAAATTAAACACCAATATTATAATAATGAATGGAGGGACAAACAACTAAAAAAAAAGACTTTCGGGTGTATTAGTTTGTTTGTTCATCAATTGCAATGTTCGAATGTCATTTTCGTGGATGCTAATCTGACAACGACAGTAATATGGGTTTTCAGTTTGTGAAAAAGAGCTTAATGATATAATTAGTGATTCCTTATTTATAAGTACCGCACACTCATTTTTTTATTTTTTTTGAATACATCATTTTTTCTTTTTTAAGTAACACTCATTTGTTTCATTTGGTACGGCTGAGGCTGAGGGACAAAATGTATATCTTAATTTAATGGTGCGTACCTAACAGAAGGGTTTTGCTAGAATATTGTCTATACTGGGTTTGCTAGAGGAGGTTATACTTTTAATTTTTTTTACAACTTCTTACAAACATATCTTAACATCGTTAATTTCTGTCAATCAACGATTATCATTTATTGTGAATTAATAATTAATTAATGAGTTAATTTGTGAAAATCATAACCGTTGATTGACGAAAATCAACAGTGTTAAGATATAGTTGTAAGAGGTTATAAAAAAAAATTGTAAGTATAACTTTCCTCATATAAAAAAAATATTTCTGACATATAAGTTATCTGCATTTACTTTTAAAACGATGTCGTTTTAGGATTGAAAGATTAGAAAATTATAATTATAAAAATTATAATAACCCTGAAATAATTTAAAATTACAAAAATAATTTCTGCCTCAAACTACATCGTATTGGACTTATTGCAGATAATTTATTTGCAGTAACTGCAGAAAAAATGAATATATATATATATATATATATATATATATATATATATATATATATATATATATATATATATATATATATAGGGATAGGATCAACTTACACAGGTGTAAGAATAATAAATCTTACACCAAATCTTAACTGTTGATTTCCGTGCATCTAATGGTTGAGATTTATTGGGAATTAAAAATTAATTAATGAGTGAGACCTAATAAATCTTAACCGTTATATGCAGAAAATCAATGGTTAAGATTTAGTGTAAGACTTATTATTCTTACACCGGTGTAAGATGATCTTGCCCCATATATATATATATATATATATATATATATATATATATTTTTCACTTGCCGCGTACCTATCAGAGAAAGGTCGGAGAAATTCCCCGTGCGAACTATTTTCTTGGAAATTGATATATTAGGGTTGGCAAGAATTCAAAATGTATTTACAATTTTAATTAGTAGGTGGTCCTGCCACTGCTTTACTTGGTTGATACTTATTGAACTGATTTTTACATATACCAACTAAACTACCCATGTCCCTGCAGCTACACTTCCATCATAGTATGTGCTATATATTGCCGTTGCTTGGGGACATTAATTCAACATTATTTGTTAGTATTATAACTATCAGAATGATAAGAAGATAACGTTCAATGAACAGAGATTCGTAAAGGGGAAGGTAGCCATGATTGTCTGATAAGAAGATAATGATTATGATGATTCATGATAGCTAATGGATTCACCCCACATTGGAATGCAGCAACTGATGTGGGTCTTTGATGCCATTATAAATAGGGTTAAATTAAAGACTTCTCATGCTATACAAATTTATTTATTTTTTTCTCAAACACACAATAAATATGTGAGTTCAATTGAAAAGAGGAAAAGGAAATTTTTTTTAACAAGACTCACATATTTATTGTATATGTAGGAAAACAAATTTTATAACCTTTATAAATATTCTTTATGGCTACAGGTGGCAAACTGAGCGGCCCGTCCCGTCTCACTCTGTCTTCAACCCGTTAAAAAATGAGTCAGCTTGTCCCGCTCCGCTTTTGAAAGTAGGCTGAAAAACTCATCCCGCCCCGTTCCGTTTGGCGGGTTAGGCTGGTTGGCCCACTAGTCTGAACCTATTTTACACTTACATGCCTCGGCCCTCCATCAATCGCCAAAAAATGAGCTCGACACGCTCCGCTTTTGAGATGGGTTGAAAAACTCAGCTCGCTCCGTCCCATTTGACGAGTTGGACAAATTAGCCCGCCGAGCTGAGCCCGTTTTGGCGGCAGTATTTAGCACTCTCCAGTATTCAAAGCATTTAACGCTTAAAATAAAGAAACAAAATAATTCCAGGTACCGTATCCTTGTACAAAACAAATTAAGCATTAAGCAGGAGTGGCCTCCAATAATTTCATCATCAAATACTTATAATAAAAAGAGAGGGCAGAGGTAGTTGCCGACGGTATTTAACAACGAGTCCCTACAACCGCAAAGCCTTTAATCGAATAATTTCATTTTTTTGACACGAAGGGTTTTTTCCTTCCACAAACAAAACAGGCTTGAGTTAAGTGGGTAGAAAATTAAGTTTGATTCTCACTAAATATAATTTTGAGGAAAAATAATGAACTTTAATTATGAAAAATATTCGGGATGACTCACTCCAAAAATATAATTAAAGTCGGTAAAAAAAGCATAAAACAAAAACAACGGGCAAAACACATTAAAAAAGATAAATAAAAAATGAGAGGAATGTGAAAGGGAATGGCCTAAATATCCAACCCCATCTAGAATCCCTTTTTATTTTTTTATTTTTTTGAAAATCATCTAGAATCCCTTGACTTTAAGGAACCTAACGCTTTCAAACGCCCAATTAATTCTCTCTCTTAAATCTTCACCACCAAGAAAATCAATAGTATCACCCCTCAGAGCCCAACTGTGACGTCGGTGAACACATCACCTTAACCCTGCATCCTCCTTTACTTCCAACCACACATAAACATTCACATACATTTTCTCTTCCTCTTTTCCTCCCAAAAACAAAAAACAAATATCAGAGAAACAGAACCGACACCAAAGAAAAAAAAGAAGAAAAAAACCATGCTTGATCCACGAACACACCACCCCATGAATTCATTTCAATTGTACGATGGAACCAGACACAAAACACAAAATTATCATGACACATGGGAAGCTACGAACTCTGGTTTGTGGCCTTCGAGACAAGCTCAATTTGGAACAGAACCTAATGAAGTGGATGAGTCTGGTATCTATACACATGGGAACCAATATCGCATAAACCATAACCGAAGCCTTTCCCCTGACTCAAGAACCCAAGCCATAGCCAGAGGCCAAAGGGAGCTCATGGAAATGGTTCGGAACATGCCCGAGTCAAGCTACGAGCTTTCCTTGAAGGATCTCGTTGAGCATCACAGGGTTAATCCTAGACAAGAGGATACGGTGGAGGAGAGGAATTTGAACGTGTACAAGAGGGAAGGTAGTGGTAGAAAGGTTGTTAAGATGGCAAAGGTTGTTAAGAAAAGTGGAAACATTGATCGTGGAGGTTTCTACCTCAAAATGGTGCTCCCTTTTTCTTTGGGATCTAAGCAAAAGAAAAAGAACAAGAAGAAAAATGAGGCAGTGGGGAGTAGTAGTTCAAAAGTTTCACCTAAACCATCAGCTTCTGATGGATCAGGAAAGGGTGTTGTTGTTGATAAGGAGTGGTGGAAGAAGAGCCCTTCAGCGTGTAAGGAGAGTGATAGTGGTGAATCAAGTATCAATAGTGGAAGCGTGAAAAGCTCTGGTAGCAGTAGTAGCAACAGCAGCTGTAGCAGAAGTAATAGCAGGTATGCTCCAACTTCAAACCTGTTGAAAATAGAAATACATTTTTTTTTTTCTTTCATTGATTTTTGCATGTTGAATTAAAATGATTAAGAATCAATTAATTAACGGCATACTCTTCCTAAATCGTCTGAATTTAGCAGGGGGGCACTTTGCTTTTAGTGATGATCAGTTAGCAATTAATTTCAGAGTGGATAAAAAACTAAACAAGATTGCTCATGGAGATTGAAATTAGTCTGCATATCATTTCTAAATTCTATGGAAATCTTTATATTGTGTCAAATTTATGTAAAATTTATTAGCATCTGTAGTTTCTTGCTGTGAGTTGAATGAAACCCTGTAGATTTTTCTATTGGTTGTTTGGTTCTAGTCACAAGTCAGGATCAGAACATTCAGTTGTTTAATCTTCAAATTTATCTGTTTCTAGGAAACTATGTCCTTGAAACTCCAAAATTTGATGGTGTCTCACTCGCCCCAATACCATAACTGAAAAAGTCAAAGAAGGAAGTTTAAAACTTAAAAAAAAATAAAAATTACGACACCATGTCTCGGTTAAAGGGGCAATGGGGGATTTTAAGAAGAAAAGAGGGGTTATGTCCATGCTGTTCTGTTGGGTGTTCATGTTGTTAGCTAAAGTAAAAGGAGCTACAGCTAGGCCTTGTTTGTTAGCTAGGTTCAATTATTTTCGTCCAATACTAATATGATTAAGCACAGAATTTCTGTAAAGCAACCAAGTGTCTACCTTGAATAAGGGAAAGTTGCGAAACAAATTGTTTGTTTTTGTAAAAAAACTACATTGTTTGTGAGCAGGTAGCTAGTAAATCCAGGCTTAGCAGTCACACTTGAATGTGTAATATCATGTGATCATCATTCATCAGTTACTAATTAATTTTTGGATGTAATGCAGGCATGATAAGAGTGGTGGTCGTTGCTGGAATTTCATTCGCAGACCCAAAAGCCGAACACAAAAATAAGAGATGCCTGATCAGATGAAACAGAGTATCAATATGATCTACGTATTCATGTTACTTAACGAGCTTTATTTTCATAAACTCCTCACAAACTCTGCTACAAGTCATTTGATAACAACTTAGTTTCATTGTAACTTTTAATGACTGATTCAGGTAAGTTCACCTTGGAGTCTCATAAAAATGTGAGGATAAAGCCTGTATAATATCATTATGCTTCATGTAATTATAGTGTTACTGATTTTGATGAGGCAGATATAAGCTTGTATGCAAGGATAGTTTTTAATGTCTTTATTCTTTGTTTATAACGTCAGATGAATATGTATTCGCGACTGAAAACATTTTGTGAAGAGTTGTATCGGACAGTTGAAATAGTTGTTACCTAAAGTTCTAGATTTCCGAGTGATCCATGAGCATGAACAAATATGTTCAATGATTTTATATGATTCGGTCAAGTGAAATTTCTATGTTTATATTTTTCTTTATTAATGATAATTAAATCCTACTTATTTAATACATGTAAAAGAAAGATATAGACATAACAATTTCACACATGACCCGATGATGTTTGTGTGAAATTTTAACACTAGTCGCACACGCTGAAGAGATATAAGATAAAGAATAGAAGCATTTAATACTTTATTGAATGATAATGTTAATGAAGAAAATTATTACGTGGATTGACGACGTAAAATTATTCAACTTAATATTTAGAGCTTTTCTCATTTATATATGAATAAGTATAATAGAGCCAAAACGTAACAATCTGTTCAAAATTTTGTCTCTTGAGAAGATGGAAGTTTTGGAGAAATTTGTTTGTTTGGTCTATTATTAAAAAACATATGTGGTTGTTATCAAAAAAAAAAAAAAAACATATGTGGTCAAAATCAATGCCGTTCATTTCACACTATTTAGTTAAGGATATTCACTTTACGATCGAACTACATGTCAGACGGGATAGATCTTGATGTTGGATCCAGGAATTGACTAATATGACAAACTAAATGTCGGTTTGTTTTCTTCATTTATTTTCATTGCTCTAGAAATCATATGAAATGCAACATCTTTTAATATTTTTAATTATTATAATTTCTTAATATTTTTTATTTTTCATTTTGTTGTAACAATCTTTTGTTAACCTTGTGTTAAACAGTGAAATGTAGTAAGAAAAAAATCTATTAGGAGAATTATTAAGAATTTCTCTTTCCTTTTCCTAAATATCCTTCCTCTCCCAATTCTATTATTCTGTTTCTCAATTAATTTCCCTTCTCCCTCTTTTCTCTCCTTTTCCTTGCATTTAACTACAATCAACTCCAATTTTCATTCTCTGTGCGTTTAACCACAATGAACTCAAAATAATCAACATAAACGAAGGGGTTTATGCAGGGTCCATGAGGGTCCCGTTAGTAAAGACGAAGATAATTTTCTTGGGTGGCTGCATCACAAGTCATAGGAGTTTCGCGAAGGAGGTCAATTGTTGACGGAAGAATTTTTCATGCTGTAATTCTACTAAAAAAGAACCCACAAATAGATTTTGATTTTGACTGAGGAAAGACAACATTTCCCGGTAAAAGTGAAAAACTTTGAATACTACTTTTAAAAATAATTTTTTGGTTTTAAAAATAAATAAATAAAAAATATCATTTGATAAAGCTTGTTTTGTAAAAAAATAAATTTAAAAATTACAATAGCTGCAAAGGGTGATTGCTCATGATGGAGGTTCGGGCTTGTTACTCGACGATTCATGATTTTATTCTAATATAGACATAACTCAAATCATGAGGATGACATTGGTTTGAAGAGTAATGAAATGTTCTAATTATATGAAATTCAGATATTTTTAAGGAAAAAGTGTGTATCATTTCAAACGATGTAGAGTCGTGTCATTTTAAGAGAGAGAAAGAGATAGATAAAGAAAGAGAGAATTGATAAAAAAAAATAAAGGTGTGGATCCCACATCTTGTGAGAGTGAAATGATATAAGTTGTGTCATTTAAAAAAATAAACACTTTTTTTTTAATATTTGCAATTATTATAACCTCTTAATATTTTATTATTTTCACTTATTATACTTTTGTTGCAAAAGCCTTGTGTTAAATAATGAATTGTAGCAATGAAGAATTAATTAAAAAATTATCAAGAATCTCTCCCTCACTTCTCCAATTTTCCTCCCATATCTCCAGTATCTACTCATTCTCTCCTTCTCTTTATCTCTCAATTAATTTCCCTCATTCTCCGTACATTTAACCACAACCATAATTTCCAAAATGTCACTTAATTTTTATTATGTTAGTTCCTTTTAAAATTTTATGACAGAAATGATGCAAAAAAGACATTTTCATAAATTTTTATAAATTTTAAAAACAATTATTTAAATAAAGAATATAATATTTTTAATTAATTTTAAATAAATAATATAATATATTTTTAATTATTAATAAAATTAATATTAACTTAAAACAAATTGAAAATAAGTCAAATACAAATTGTCGTGTAGAACGAAAGGTTCCGATTGTCTAATGGCCACTTTGGGCCTTTAAATGTCATGACCTGCCAAATCCATCACCTTTCCAGTCTGTCTTTTTCTTGGGCTTGTTCACGTGATTGGTATAGTCTACAAATAATTGGTCTTCTGTTGTTGTTTCAAATGATAGTTAAAATTGGAATTTTATTTAAAATTAAAAGGAGGATAAAAAATAATAAAACGTAAAATTTTAATGTAAAAAAAATCATAAAATCGTAAAAGCATTTGAAATTTTGATAAAATTATTTTAATTAAAAAATTTATAAAATCACATATTTAAATCAAAATTTTAACTATAATGGCTATTTCTGCTACATTATCACCGTCAATTGTACAGAACTTGCACAAATTTGGTTTTAGCATCACAATGATTGTAGGTAGGGATGTCAATATAGGTTTTGACACGCGGGTCGACCTGCGACACAACACGAAAATTCGTGTTCGGGTTGACCCGCAAAAAAATTCGTGTTGTGTTCGTGTTGATGTAATCGTGTTCGTGTTGACCCGTATTTTTTTAAATTATTTTATTTTTAATTTATTATTATTATATTTTTTAATTTTTCTAATATCGATCCATTTTTTTAAATTTTTTTTGTCAATTACCATTTTGACCTCTATTTTGCTTGTTATTCGTGTCGTGTCAACCGCAAAAAATTCGTGTCGTGTCAGTGTTGAAGATTTTGGCACGAATAAAAATTCGTGTCGTGTTAGTCTTGATGTATTCGTGTCATGTCGAATTCGTGTCGTGTTGTCGTGTCGAATTCATATCGTGTCGACTCGTTTTGACACCTCTAATTATAGGTGCATGCACAATTGACAAACGACATGCACGTGTCCCTCTTTTACCCGTTTTCCTGGGGAATTTATTGTATACAACGGTTCAGTACTCCTTTTTGCTTAATTTTTTTTTTATTTTAACAAATATTTTTTTTTTTATAATTCCCTTCATATTTCAAAAACATCCTTTCTAATAAAGATGCACTTGCAGTGGAAGTATTGTAAGTTTTCTCATTTTTCTAGATTTATATTGTATATTTTTGTTTTGTTTTAACTATCCGGACTCTGATTATTTCTTTGAGTCGTTCATAAATTTTAATTTTTGATTCGACTATAAATTAACTCTGAGTTGGACTTAATTACAATTGATTTTTTTTTTCTCCAAAAATATATTTTCGGTAAGAACCAAAGTCAGATTTTTTCCCCAGCCTATCGACTAAATTATACCCATTATTAAAGTAGTGTATATGTCCTTGGGGATAACGATGAACAAAGTCAAAGTTTATTAACATTTGAAAGATACATGTTAAAAAATAAATATATCAAATTTAAAAATGTAAAAATATTTATTGTTTTAAAATAATTAAAATACGTAATAAATATTGTTTTTGCTTGCGTTAACAAAAAAAAAACCCTTAATTTTTATATTGACATACACAAATTTTCTTAAAAAAAAAATAATTGACTTGTAGGTTGATTAGTCAATTCTTGCATTCTAAAATTCCGAGCGATCAAGTACCCAATTTCCAAAGGCCGCCGGTGATTTCCAATTGCATCCATAATCAAAACACAAAGAAAGAAAAACGCGTGTACGACTTTGGATCATTTCTTCCACCACGCACCAAGTCAAAACGAAACGTCACCAAGCAGAATAAACAATAAGGTTAATTCGTATTTTAACGAATCCAATAAATTCTTTTTTTTGTAAAAAGAAAAAAACAAAAAAAATCAGCTCAAGTAGAAGTTGGAATTTCTTGTTAGCGAACATCTCAATAAATTCCAGCCGTGACATAAATTATTACGCCGACCGGATTAAGAGTTAAGTGGCCGATTTAGACGTTCAAAACATTATTATTATTATTATAATAATAAGGGGATAAGTTATCACCTACCTTATTATTATTATAAATTGATTGTTTAGAAAAAAAAAAAGAAGAGAGTTGCTGACAAGTAAAAGGCGTGGGGTGAGTCTAGAAGGAACAAAAGGTGGGTACCCAATCCCGAATTGAGTTCATTTCAGTTTTTGATAAACACATATATTCGTAATCGTAATCGCTTCTGAATTCTGAATTCTGATTCCCAATTCTCTTCTATTGTGACAGGTTAGATCCGTAATTTATTACCATCTTTGTTTTGTCTCTTCATCCATCGTTCTCATTTCTCAACTCTCATCTCAAGTATGGGGTTTTAGGTTTCGATCTCTTCACAATCCTTCCTTAATATGTTTCTTTCGATTTCTGTTCTCTTCCGTCCTCCTTCTCTTCCAGCTTAGTTGTTTAATCTGGCATGAATATGATCTGATTTTCGGATGCATCGTCCCTTCGATTTATTATTATTATTATCATTATTTTTTAAATTCCATTTTGAATCTTTTTCTTTTTTTTCGTTTATTGAATTGACAGTAGAAACTTTGATATTTTAAATTCTAGATTACTGCTCTGATACATGTTTATATTTTGTATGATGCACTCTGCAGTCAACGGTTTTGAAAAGATATTGTTAATTTGTTAATTTGGGTTTGGATTTATAGAAGATTGAAAGTAAAGAGATTGATTCACTGGAGCTGGAGAGACATGGCTAACAATGCAGCTGCATGTGCTGAGAGAGCAACTAGTGACATGCTTATTGGTCCAGACTGGGCTCTCAACATAGAGTTGTGTGATATCATTAATATAGACCCTAGGTATTCTATTGTCCTCTTCTCATGTTTTGTTTCAGAGTATGCTTTGTGAATACGAGATGATAAGAATATTGTTTCTATAATCACTCTAAACTAGTTTTTTAGCTGGCCAGTATTATACCAGGAGTGTTTGTACTATGGTTTAGTAAGTTCGTTGGTAATCTTGCACGAGAATGATGTTAGGGACTTAGGGTTTTAAGTTTATGTTTCTGAAGATAAAGACAGATCTGGTACTTTGTTTACCCTCTTGTATGTTGGTAACTGATGGGAGGGTAAGATTTTGTCTTGCACTCTTGACCTTGCTAAAAAGAGTTCTCTTTTGTTTAGACAACTTCAAAAATCGAATTGCTTGTTCCATCATATTTGACAAAGACACACGTTAATTTGCCGGTAGCCCTTTTCTTTCCCATTTAGTGCCATGTTCATTGAAACTCTCAATGGGACTGCTATTAACATATTACTAGTATAACTGAGATCCCCGCTTCTCCCCTCTCAAAAAAAAAAAGAACTTAGGTTTCTGATTTTAATTTTGGAGGATTGTTAAGTTGGCAACCATTGAAAATTCTTATCACATAAAAGAGAATGTTAGACTGTCTTAATTCTGAAAAAATTTAGTATTTTTTATGGCTTAATTACACTTTTGGTCCCCTTAATTTCACCAGTGTTTGATTTTGGCCTGTTTATTTTTAGTTGCAATAAAGTGCTGAGTTATAGCTGTTGATTGGAAAACCCACGGATTGATTTTTAACTTTATAGTTTGTTATATATGTGCATCATGTATGTTATCACCATGTGAGCCATTGATTTTCCACTTTAGAGGAGCCAATGCCAATCCCAATGTGAATACTGTGGACGTAACATTGTTGCATTTGGAAATGAAGAGACTAAAACCAAATTTTGATGAAAATAGGAGGACCAGAAGTAAAATTGGGTCACTTTTGAATTTGATCTTGTTTTTTTGGTTTTGGATCTCAAGTATGTAATTGATTCAATTGATCCTTTTTTTTCCCCCTCATGGGTATTTCTTAATTACATTGTGCCTGATCTTCTCTGTTGAACTAATTAAATTTGCAGGCAAGCAAAGGATGCATTAAAGATAATTAAGAAGCGTTTGGGAACTAAAAATCCCAAAATACAGCTTCTGGCTCTTTTTGTCAGTATTTCTATCCTCTTACTTTTGGATAATTATTGAATATTTATGGTTTGAATTATGTGTTATGATTTATTACTATATTTCCACATATGTATAAAGTCCTCATAATCATAATTTTTATTCTGCTGTGGTTGAAAGATGTTAGGTGTAAAGTACTTCTTGTCCATAGATTTGTGCTGGAGGTAACAAAAAGCAGTGATTATCTGACATGGATGCTTTATATTTGATTTAGGTACTGGAGACCCTTAGTAAAAATTGTGGTGAAAGTGTATGTCAACAGATCATTGAGAGGGATATCTTACATGAAATGGTTAAGATAGTGAAGAAGAAGGTATTTATTGATTTTTGACACTGGATATTTCTTCTATAGTTCACTAATGTTCCTTCTGCAACTGTATTTTGGAAGCGGAAGACTTTCTTATCCCCTGCTGCAATTTCTTAATCTAATTATACAGCCAGACTTAAATGTGAGGGAAAAGATACTGATTTTAATCGATACGTGGCAAGAAGCTTTTGGGGGCGGGGGCCCTGGTGGACTTTATCCTCAATACTTTGCTGCGTATAATGAATTAAAGGTGAGCTCTTCTTGTGCTTCTAGAAATTATTTTCTGAGATTAATTTATACTTTGCAAGCAATAAATCTATTTTTAAATGATACGCATTAATATTTCTATTGAAGTACATTTATATTGTGATTAATGTTAACGTTTCTTACTAGAGTCATGTTAAATTTTTCTGCCTGTCTGCAACATATTTTCGTAGTTGTTTATGTTAATCCATGTTAAAGAATAATATAAACCATTAAAAAGACCATCACCCATCATCTTAAGGTTTTGGGTTGAAATAGTTCTTTACATGGTATTAGAGCTTCAGTGACCATAAGGTCACGAGTTTGATTCTCACCGCTCCCCACTTATGGAATTAAATAAGCATAAGGTAAAACCAAATTTTTTTTGGGCTTATGCAATATTCACGTTTCAAGCCCAAAGGGCTATTACGTGAGGGGGTGTGTTAGAGAATAGTATAAACCATTAAAAAGTCTCTCATCCATCATCTTAAGATTTTGGGTTGAAATAGTTCTTTACAATCCAGGACCAAATTAGCCTATAGTCATCATTGTTTTTTGGGGTATTTTAAATAGGTTATAGTGTTCCACAAGCTTCACACAACTGTGTACTTGCATTCTTGAACTTTTGGTAAAAAGTTTTGGAAACTTCCACCCCCTCATGCACACACACACATGCAAATATATCAAAACTTGCTGCTCAAAACAAATATATCATTTAGTTGTTGCTTTTGGGCTTAGAGCCAAAACACTGATATTTTGGTTCTCTAATGTGTTGCTTTTAATAATTAACAGTCTGCTGGAGTTGAATTTCCACCACGAGAAGAGAATAGTGTGCCATTCTTCACTCCTCCTCAAACCCAGCCTACTGTTTATTCTGCTGCAGAATATGAAGATGTTGCTATTCAGGCTTCTCTTCAGTCAGATGCATCTGACCTCAGGTGCTCCTTGAACTCCATCACATTCTTAATGTTATAATTCATATCTTTGCTGTGTGGATCTAACAGTGTTGTTATACATTTAACATTGTGTAAGAAATTAAAATGCTCATAAATTTATAGTAATGACTCCTGTAGATTGTTGGTTTTTTAATTTTCAATTTAGATGTTATTGCACAAGTTCCCTGCTTTCTAACAGTAGTTTCTGTAACTTGGATGCATATTTTAAGGTTTGTTCACCTTTGGTAAGAAACCTGCCCCATTCCTATTGCAATTCGCAATGAACTTGAAACTTGGCAAAAATAATAAAATAATGGAAAATAACAATTAATGGAGTTATCTAAAAATTTGTTACATACCTATCCTATCTCATACTATTTGATGTAGCTACTGGAGACCCTTAGTCAAAATTGTTGCTTTAATTTTTTTTTTTTTTTTTACATTACTATTATTATTTATTTTTTTGGGGGTGGGGGGTGTTGAACAGTAAGAGTATCGTCTGACAATCTTTCTTATCAACTGAGATTAAGTTCCTCCCCCAGCAACCTTAAGGGTGCATCTCTCACATCGGCCTGGTGCATTTAGGGTTATTAATTCCCCTAGGTGCTTGCCCAATTTCTAGTATATGAAAGTGGCGATAGTTTATTTAGGCAACTTTCTCTCACATATTTACTGGGGTATGTTGGAGCTGTTTGTGCTAATGTTCTCTTTTGTCCTGTTTATTTATTTATTTATTTTTTTGCACTTTCTCTTAATAAGCTATTCTTTTATTAAAAAAAAACATTTTTTTTTGCTTTAACCCTCTCTAACTATTTTTAATAATCAGTTTGCTAGAAATTCAAAATGCCCAAGGACTAGCTGATGTATTGATGGAAATGCTTAGCGCCTTGAATCCTAAAGACCCGGAGGTGATATTTTTTTTCATTATCATTCCTTTTCTGTTAGCCGCATTATGGAACCTCTGTTCAGTTTTTCTTGCTTATGAAAATGTATGTTTGAACTTTGAAGTTGCTGTATTTCCGTATCAATGAATTCATATTTTGCTGGTTGCGGTATGGGCATGGCGCTATGGAATTTTGATCTGGGATTTATTCCATTTTAGCAAATTGAAGTAAGCAAGTTGTTGTGAGAATTAGCAAGATTCTGAGTAAAAGTTTAAGAAGTATGCTTCTTTTTTACGCTGGCTCTGCTGAAATATGTCTTTTTGGCGAGATTTTAAGTTTCACTGTGACTCCAAAGTTTTGTAGTTATCTTTTCTCTTTCTATCCAATCTTTGGCCATAGAGATCATATTTCCAATCCCAATCTCAAGATCATTCATCATTCACAAAACTCTAGTAAACCCAACATCAAATTACTTATAATCAAGTCATTGTGTAAAGATCTTGGAAAAGTCTAATAATCGAGCATCAATTTACTTATAATCCGAAAGAATGAAAAAGCTGTCAGGGTACATTTGTAGCATCACCCCCCCCCCCCCCCTAAAAAAAAAAAACCCACCCACCGGCAAACCCTTTTATAATTTGAAATCATAATCTGTTGACACTTAGCAAATCCTGACGTCTGAATAGATATTGTATTTAGCTGAGGTTTGAGAGTAGCTAACCTGGAAATGTTTGGACATCAGAGTCCAGAACATGAGCTGACCTATGAAAACGTTCCTTGCAAGTGCTGAACTAAGATATAATTTATAAACTCAATGCTTTTGCTTGCTATGATATTAGATTTTTTTGTTCAGCACAACACAGTCATGGCAAGTTGTCAATATTCTTTTGTTTCTTAATATTCTGGACAAAATATGGCAGGGTGTGAAGGAGGAAGTGATTGTTGACCTTGTTGACCAGTGCCGTTCTTACCAAAAGCGTGTCATGCTTCTTGTGAACAACACTGTGTAAGTTTTTTTATTAATTAATAAGCCCCTTTTCTATGTGCAGTTAAGAAGAATGACTATAATGGTTGCTTGACTTGCTTCACTTTCAGGGATGAGCAGCTTTTAGGTCAGGGATTGGCACTGAATGACAGCCTTCAGCGAGTACTCAGTCGTCATGACCATATTGTGAAAGGAACTGCTGATTCAGGTGCAAGAGCAGCAGAAACTTCAATTCCGCCACTTGCAAATGTAAACCATGAGGATGATGAGTCAGAAGATGATTTTGCTCAACTAGCCCATAGGTGAACAATTATATTGTGGAACAAATAGGTTTCCTGTCAAAGGCTGACATTTTCATTTGAATACCCTTTACAGTTGATATACATTCATTATTCCCTAGTAACTATGAAAAAAAATCCTCTATTCCCTTCCCTCGTCTTTTTCTCTTTCCTTTTAGTTTCATAATTGTAATGAACATTTAAATACCATGATTTCAGGTCATCACGAGATATTCATGCACAGAATCGGAAACCAGCCTATGACAAGGCAGAACCAGTGAGGATAAACTCACTTCTTCCCCCACCACCAGCATCAAGGATGCCAGTTTACTCTGACACTGGCATGGTTGACTATCTCAGTGGTGATGCATACAAGGCTGAAGGACCCCCTGAAAACTCACAACCAACTTCATTTGCAGTTCCCCTTCATTCTAGCCCTAATCCTACCTCATCAACTCTTCCAGCACTGTCTTCACCCCAACCTCATGCCATGAGCACCTCATCACCACCAATATTTATCGGACAGCCTGTGTATGATGAGCCATCTCCCATGAACAAATCTTCAGAAGGGCTGCCTCCAGCTCCCTGGGGGACACAATCTCCTGGCATCGTTCCACCCCCACCTTCAAAGCATAATCAGAGACAACAGTTTTTTGAGCAAAAAGGTGCGTCTCATTCCAGTAGTGGATCCAGTTCCTCTTATGATAGCTTGGTGGGACAAACTCAGAATCTATCTCTGAATTCATCCACCCCAACTAAACAACAGAAGCCAGAAGATGTCCTTTTCAAAGATCTAGTTGATTTTGCAAAATCCAAAACCTCTTCATCTTCAAATCCCAATAGGTCATATTGAGATATTGCGTTTGTATTGCTTGTGCCGGTACAGCTTATGAATGTTGTTCATCTGGTTTAGCTTCAGATCACTGAGACAACCATTTTGTGGCTGTGTTTAGGAACCTTCAGGTATGACTTTGTCCATGCGTGTATTTTAGTTCAATCAATACCTTGCTACATATATGCATATATTCATGTATATGGTTCATATTGGATTTTTTGGCTCATGTTTTCAATAATATCGGATTCTTTAAGCATCACGGTTTCTTCAAACTCGCTGTTTGCGAAAAAGGAATTGGGTCAGTTGGTAGTTAAGGAGCTGAGTATAGAAAGGAAAGGGTTTCAGTTCGATTCCTATATGTCACTTTTGGGAGGGGGTTTAAATATTTTTATCTGCCCCGCACTCGGAATTAGTCTCATAGCCGGCTCAAAAAGTCAAAGTTTGTAGTGATGTCGTGAGACTCTACTCACTTCAAAGAGGTAATTAGAATTGAGTTAACTCTAAAAAAAAAAGGAACCGGGTCGTTATTCTGGGGGCAATTTCAAGCTATTGTATAGCTCCACGGTTCAGCTGCTCAGACTCAGTTGATGACCATCAATACAGTGTGGATACTGTATAGTAGTAACCAGCCCACGATTGTCAGACCCGGATTATGCTTTTATCAGAGCAGACCTTTGCCAAGTTGGATCAATGAATTTATCATTAAAATATTAAAGGAAAAAATTATTGAAAGAAAATAGTTTTTTGCTAAAATCTTTTTGGGCTTATCTCAATGAAGTTAAATACTCCAGCCCCGTACCTCTCATGGCTCATCCTCAATTTTATTATAACCAATTATTTATGAATATAATCCTATCAAGCCCTTGGGAGTGGAGGAACCTTCGCACCACATTCAGATGCACAGAGTAGTGTAACTTTTTTGTCCGCTTTAGTGCATACGTTCAAGCTTAGTTACATGCGCATATATCTTGCACGACGGATTACGTTAACCTGATACCCTATTTTAATTTCATTAGTCTCCCAAAGGAGAGTTTGTAGTACGTATTTGATGGAAATGGCCATTGTTTAATATTTTTAACTAGTATATGGTAAATCAACTTAAATGAAAATCTATGTACTTTCGCTGCAGGTTTTACAATGGTATGATCCATGTGTGGTGGTGAAGCTCATATATAATTAGGCAATAATAAACTTCCTGATAATCAATTAGCAATAATATGTGCATGAAATAGCAGATACTAAAAATGGTACGTCTAATCTGAATCGAAATACATGACAATAAGGGATAACTTTATATTTAATAAGTAACATTAATATTACATGTTACCATGAGAAACTCTTACGGGAAGACATACACAGTATGACAGTAGTAGTTAATTAAATACGTATTATTATGGAGGTAGGATCCTTTGACACCAGTGTCAAATTTAAAGTTTGACACCTCATCTGAGAGCCGTTAGATCAAAAAAGATCAATGGTGTCACATGCCCACAAATCAAAATCGTTGATCTTTTTTTATCTAACAGCTCTCAGATGAAGTGTCAAACTTCAAATTTGACACCGGTGTCAAAGGATCCTGCCTCATTATTATGTATATAGATACATCATGGCGACTGGGTCATGATGCTAACAAAGAGGATGGGTAACTTCAACTGACCGCGTAACCAAAGATGCGCTGGCTGAAGGTCTTCTTTATCTTTCCACACATGAAGATGAATATTTTCCTCTTGATGATTCCTCTAATGGGAGGGAATGAGCTTTTTCTGTAGCTCTTGTCTGCTGGTGACCTAGTTCGACGCACCAATGCCATTCCTGTTTTCTTTTCCATGAGAATGAGATAGCCTGACTTAATGAGAGAGTGAAAGTGGGTTTGCATGAGTAGTAATAAGGGATACATTCATATCATCATATGTATATATATTACTACAAGATATGCTGTATAAACTAAAGTTAATTTCAGTAGGAACCTTCGTGGTTCGTGCCATCACTAACATTTTGCTATTAATTCCTATAAACAGCCGACAATAGCTAGGTTCATGCAAGCCCAACTATTTTTCGTACTAACTTAATTTATTGATGGTGAGGGTTTTATACATGCACCAAACGTATCGCATTTGATTCTTGGACGTTGCTGATATCTTCTACTTCAAGAAAGATAGAGTGAGTTGAGAGTAATGTAACGTCCATTAGTTACAAAGTTAAAATACAGAGTGAAAAATGATGAAGAGACGATGAGGTAAGAACAATAGGTGGGAGGGTTAGAACAAGAAGAGGTAAAACATAAGGGGGTAGAACAAGAACAGAGTTAAACCACTACACCCAGGAAAATAGCCTCCTTTTGCACCATGGTGCACAAAAATGATGAACACTGAATTTGTTTATTTTTCTTGTATAATATATATAATTTTTTACTAACAACCATATATAAGTAGCGTCTCTTGATTACTGATTTCCATCATTCCATACGTTGAAAGTGACTCAAAAGCACCAATTCAACTCTGAAAAGTTTGATTTGCACCTACAATATGTAGAAGTCTAAATCTTGGCACATTGTTATTTATAAGATAGTTATAGTTTGTATTAGTTAATTACTTAATTTTCATTTAGCTGGTTAAGCCACTGTATAAGTAGGATTTTGAGGTACCAAATAACTCATTAGTTAAATTTTATTGTATATGATTTTGAATCATTAAGAATTTTCTGTCCTTCATTGGAAAGAAAACCTAAGTTGTATCAGTTGTTTCAACAAAAAAAAAGGTTCCTCAGAAACCTTCTAGAATGATGCTTTTACCCACTTCCAAAAATAAATAAAATGAAGTTATCAGGAGACCACAGACAAATAATTTGTTCATTCCTGCATCTATAGACTATGGATAATTCCAAAATGAGAACATTAATTAAAAAAATAAATACATTCAGTTTCTTCTTGTTATCCTTGGTATATATGTGACCTCGTATATACGAGTAATGAAATATTATGGGCTTACTGAATGGAATCAACACACGCATAACTTTCACCCAATGAGAAGCAACACACACACGTCACTTGACACACTAGAAGTGGTCACAGAAATCATAATAAGCAAATTGCCTTTGTGCTACTTTACATTTTCCTTTTGGGTGTTCCTAAAGATTTGTATTTTTTTTTTTGTGGGAATAGCTCATTCTTGCAAGTTGAGTTTTTTGCTTTTGTCTAAAGCACCTGAAATTCTGAGCTGTGGGAGGAATTGGGATATAAACAAATAATCCAAGTTATAGAAATATTTCAAAGAAGAAAAGCAAAAAGAGCATGGAAGATGGATTTGGGACTCCGCCACTTTTGAGGAGGACAATCTCTGCTTATCAACCCTTGGAACTGATCCGCTTGTTTTCCCTGAAAACAGAAGAAACATAATTAGAAAAGAAAAAAATACTAAATGGTAATGAATGTTTTTTCATGAAACTAACTTCCGAAAAGAGAGTAATGAAAAAATTTGTTGGTTTTGCCAGTTATTCATTTACTTCTCAAACCTTACTTTTTTCTATCTCCAAAAATACTAGTTATGACTCATTTATAACAATTTTCATAGCAAACAGCATTGCAGATCAGAAAACTAGTTATGTACAATCAGAACAATTAGATTTTAATTTATTTTTTACAAAATAAAGTTTGGTTTTGTTTAGAACCTATTGAAATCTTGATGGTAGCAAATTTATGTGTAGTATGGAGACTAAAATGATATTGAGCATTTTTAAAAAAAAAAGTAAAATTACTAATCCAAATCATTGCTAATTTCAGCATTTCTTAATTTTACCTCCATGGCATCCTTGAGAGCTCCCCAACATTCCATTCTGTTATATTTTTTTGAGCTAGAATGAAAATAAACTCGAACTATAGAATACAGCAATTCTGGATGCTCATCGAAAAGTACAGAATCTCCACATTGTATTGCTTTGAGTACCTGGCTCCACAAGACAAGAATCCAACCATGTTTCATACACTTAGGCATAATACCACCATAAAAACCACTTCCCATTAAATTCCGATTAATGAGGGTAGGGGTGAGGGCATAATACCACCATAAATTAGAAAAAAAAAAAAAAAACCAGCTTAGGAAAAGTGAGAGATTCATCCTTGCAATTAATAATATGAGAACATGGGAAGCTAAATATTTTAAAGAAGGATATAGATATGATCTTCAGGAAACAAAAGCCTTCTCCAGAATTCAGCACTTGCCTGCATTTGGAGCAGCACTTTGTGCATATACAAGATAAAGCACAAGTTGCACAACATACAAAGTTGAAGTGGAAGTTTAGGAGAGAACCTATCACTAAATACTCTCTATTTTTCTCCCCACATCATTTAATTGAAAAACTCTTTTATAAGCGTTTATATTCTTTTTGAGCAATGGTAAGCATTGGGAAGGAACAGTTCACCCGTTGAGGGTTCTTTCATCTGTCAACACCCTCCTGAACAAAATACTGGTGTGCATGTTTTTGATGAGGTTCCCATGAAGAACACCTCTTAGAGATGAATCCTAGTTTTTAGATTCTTTCTGTATTGATGAGATATTTTAAGGGAATGTTATAAATTAAATGCAAAACATACCAAAGGCATTTCCTTCGAGAATATGTGATATCTAAATTCAGCAGCCAGATCCAGGAAGGGGTTGGGACCACTGACAAAGCAATGAACATGCAGGCACATTTCATTTTTCACTTTCTTCCATTCAGCTACAACATCATCCTTCTCATACCACCCTCTCAACTGCCAGAGTCACAAAGATTGGTACAAATATAATATGCATCAATTAAGAGAACCAATATAATTTCCAAGCCAAGCATGCAAAAAGTAAAGACACAAACCTGCTCTAGGTTGATCACATTAGACACAGCTAACGTCAGATTAGCTGTTAAGTCACAGTGGGATAGAATGTAGGTTCTCGGAATAATACTTGCATATTTGTTTATCTGATCTTCCAATCGAACAACCTTCAGTTTTGAAGCTTCAAATCTTGCTGGAGGACCCAAGAGCCTAACAGCCTTAAAAAAAAAAGTACTTTTATAGAAGGAATATCAATGGTACTCATAACAAATTAAATAATAGTTTTTTGTATTGCTATATGAAACAAAAAGGTCCAAAGTTGTACACTCAAACTGAACTCCAGAAAGAGAAGGAAGGTATTCAGTGTTTTCTACATTTAGATAACAATTATTGAATACCGTAAGCAATCATTTGGATGGATCTGTTTTGCAAGGAGTTATCTCATGAAGCGTATTTGTTTTGTGCATGAATCAAGATAAGAAATCCTAATTTTGTAAATTAGAACTAGAAGCTGTTAGGAGGAGCTTAAAAGAAGAGAAGATCCCATCAATAGACTAAGCGACAAATCACAATAGTGGGTTTAACACCACATTTTGACCCAAAACTTTTAAGAAATGCATTTATGGATCTTTCCACTTATACGATCCTCACTTAACCATTCTTAACCAATATAGGACTTCATCACTCACATTTGAATTTCCAACATTCTTCCCCTTAAGAGTGAGTCTCAACCTTAGTATGCTCCCTCTCAAGCATAAGCCTTTCCGAGTATTCAGGGATTAGCAACCAAGAGCCAAGTCTTGGCCAATGCTTCACAACATGGATTAGACATAAACCCAAGCACTAACCACCATTTGTAAATACTTGAACTAGCCAAACCATAGACTCTATACCACTTGTTAGGAAGTTAGCAGGAGCTCATAAGTGGGGAAGACCTTAATTAATGGCTAAGTAGAAAATCGCAATTCTGGATTTAACACCACATCTTGACCTAAAACCTCAAAGACAATGAAATAAGTTTATGGTTCTTTTCAATTATTGGTTCTCACTTAACCCGTTCTTGACCAATGTAGGACTTCACTTGAATTTCAAACTGAAGCCATAAGCCAGATCACACATTGAAGTTGTTCATCCATAATTCAATGATAACTGTTATGCAGCAAAAGTCAAAGAATGCAATTGCAGCTAGCCAACAAAAGTCGAAATCTTAGATAGGTATAATATCTCTACAGATCATATAGCAAAATACAGGAAGCAAAATTCCTTTAACTTATTTCACATATGAGTAATAAGGAATTCAAATAAAAGAATCATTTCGGAAATGTGGGCTTTCTTTTGCATCTGGACTAAGAATTTCAATTTCCTATGTTTATTATTAGATGGCCAAGACACAACGCTGGGTCTAGGGAGTTGACTTCAGATTTGCATATTTATACATGATAGCCTCAAGAACCAGCTGGGTTATTAGCTAGATTTTTTACAATAATAAAGGGATCTTCGAGAAGAAAAGGGATACATCTACCATATCCAGAGATCGCCATGTACAATTCAAGGAGAACTAATAATCTGAAATCAGAGCAAGGTTATGTCATATCGCTGTTTGCAAAAGGTTGGACTTTAGAGGATCATATTTTCTGCATTATTTTGCCCTACAGATTTCCTTCAACCTATTGTTTGAATATGCAAATGATGTAGAAGTATATGCTACAGCCTGTATGATGTATCGTCACATTATGAACCAGAAATCTTTTATGATACATTGATTGCTGAAATAACATCAAATACCAGAAGAAGAACAAAAAAAAGAAGACCCCTTTTGGCATGTGATACAACAAGAGCAGATATATAGGACAACTGTATGCTACTGTGTGGTTGTTGAGTTGAAAACAAGTAAATTCACAACCTAAAAGACTACTAAACTCAGTGACCCGCCCCGAATCGGACTAGTGGCGAAGCGATGAACCTATTGGAATATTTATAAAAGACTATTAAACTAGCCACATTAAACAAGTAACTATATTGATAACAAAAAACCTATTATTTCAAACACTAGTCATTAAATCCAAAATGCCAGCAGATAACACTGAATAGATGATAATGGCATGACATATAAAACTGAAAGGAGAGAGAGAAAGGCACCTCAGAAACAAGGGTGTTGTAGGATGGTGTGGCATTGTTCATGGAGGACAAGAGAAAGGGTCTGCATCTAGTTGATGGCTTTGACATGATGATGTTGTTGGTGAAGAATTCTCTGTTTGGTGAAAATGAAAAGGTATTGTAAGCACAATTACATGCCATTGAAGATGCATAACACAGTCCTCCTCTTCATGTTTCACAGGCCACCATTGTCTTTTCTTTTCAGGCCTTAATATTCTGTTAATTAAGAGAGAAGAGAAAAGAAAAGAAAAAAACAGCTATAGAGAAGGAAAGAGAAAGTGAAATGATGTGGTAAAGTGGTGTTCTCAGCTTGGTTCATTCATGTGGAATTGTGGACAGTGATTCTGACCCTACATTCCAAATACTATGTCAATCCATTCCTTCCACACGTTTTCTTTCTTTATTTCTTCTGATGAATTACAGAAAATAGAAATCGAAGCTTATTATTGTATATATAAATGTTTCAAACGCTTTACAGCGGAGAATGGAGTTGAACGTTGTGCCACGTCATCAAACAGCTCAAATTTTCGATAACAATGTGGATAATGTAATGACGTGGCTTTACTTGGGTCAACAGTTTGATGTGAAGCGAATCCGCATCTGCTTGAAGACTTTAACTTCCTCTTATATTAAAAGGCAAACTTAAAAAACGTCCGTAAGTTTGGTAAATTATTTATTTTCCTTCTCAAAATTTTTAATCATTTATATTTTTATGTAAAAAAATTTTATCACTTACTTTTTAAATATTATTCTAAAGTTAATAGAGTTATTTTTTTTAAAAAAAATACCAAAATTACACTTAAAAAAAAAAACAACAACAGAGAAGAAGCTAAGTTGTGAGTATTTGTATAAAAAATTTCCAACCTATACATGTGAAAATGTCTACATTTATTTTCACTCAAAAAAATTCATTTCATTAACTATTATCCAATAGATATATTAAAGGTAGTTAAGGTATTTTTTTAAAAAATTTAACTCCCTTAACTTTATTTTTTGATGGAAAATTAAGTTAGGAAAAAAATGATTAAGAAACATTAAGTAAGGGTATAAATGATTCAATATTTTGAGGGTAAGTGATTCTAGAAGAAATTTACAGAATTCTTTTTTGGAATTTTCCCTATTTTAAACAATGAAAGAAAGAAAAATTAGGAAGAATAATTTCTCATTCGAAATTTTTACTGTACAAACTTTTTTTTTTTTTTTTTTAACTCAACGAAATCGATCCACATGAAAACTCAATGCCAATATATAAAATCCCATGTACAAGTCAAGGCCCACCTATAAGTAAAAGACGAAATGACTTGCCCCTCTTGGCTTCTATGTGTGCTGAAGTTTAGTTGTTTTGTTCAGTATCACTAACAAATGTAATTTTCTATTAACTTTGAGGCAGGATTATTTGATATTAGTGTCAAATTTGAAATTTAACACTTTATCTGACACTAATGTCAAAGGATCATGCCTCATTAACTTTTATATATGTATGAATAGATATTTTACTTTATGTGAGTCTATGATGCACAAGCAATACAATAGTTTTTCTTTCATTGCTTTACTAATGGGATCCGGTGCTTCATGTAGTGTTTACTAAATAATTATTATTAATTTTTTTACCTTGAAAAAAATATAAAACGGTTTAATTCACTACTTAATAAGGCTTTGTCTAAAACTTATTAACAAGTATTTATAGCTGAGCTTGAGATATTCTTCAGCAGCTCATTTTATTTATCTAAAATTTACAATAATTAAAGATGAAAATAGAAAATTATAAACTCTTATATTGAAAAACATACAAATTAAATTCTTATTGATTATAAAGCAAATTGGAAAACATAAAACTCCGCTCAAATTGGTGCGTGGAGATTTCAAAAAGATGCTTGATCGATAAAAATTGATACCTGATCTGTATTTTGGTGGATAAATCGATAAAAAGATGCTTAAAAGCAGCTATAATCGATGTAATAAGACCTTTTTGAGTTTTTGTTGTTCACAAGAGTTGGCAATCAATTTTTATTTTTAATAAATACACATATACTATTTTGCCCTATTGCAAAACAAATGCAGTTTCCATATCATCTTAAGAAATTCCTCATTAGTCCATTCTATTTATCTAAACTTTACCTAACAATGAAAACAAAAAATTATAATCTCTGGTATTAAAAAAAAATATATAAAACAAATTCCAATTGATCACATCATATGTGTGTGAGTGTGTGTGGGAAATGATTTGTCCTTTTAAAGAAGGTAAATTATGTCCTTGTAATTTATAACTATATGTACAAAGGGTAGAGGTGACAAAGTGGGCGGCCAGCCCCACTTTTGAAAGTGAGCTAAAAAACTCGACCCTGTTCGGCTCGTTAGACGGACACGATAGCCTGGACCTATTTTACACTGACTTGCCTTGCCTTGCCTCTCCTCGCCATCAACCTGTCAAAAAATGAGCCCGCTCGCCCCGTCCCGCTTTTGAAAGTGGATTGTAAAACATAGTCTGTCGCGCCCTCGTTTGGCGAACGAGGAGAGTCAGCTTGCCGAGTCGAGCCCATTTTACTGACTCTACTAAGGGTAGTACATAATTATAATATTAAAGTTGGGGATAGATTATTCTACCTACCTCTTTCTCTGCCTAACTTTGCTTACCACTCTAAAACATTGTTAGATTCGAATCTCAACTAATTTTTATTTTTCTCTCTCCTTTTGAAATTATGATCTAACAGTATTGGAGAATATAGGAAAAGGTAGGCAGAAAAAAAGTAGGTAGAGTAACATATCCCTTAAAGTTGTATTTTTCTCTCTCTCTTCATACACTGTTTGCTGATATGGAAAGTGAAAAAAATACAACTTCAATATTATAACTATGTATTACACTTAGTATATAGTTATAAATTGTTAAAATGACATAAAATACATCATTTAAAAGGATAAACTTTTAATCTATATATATATGGGTCTGTCGCTTCTCATGTGACTGCTGATTAGAAAAGTTGCAGCACATTTTTAACACTAGGATACACGTGCGGAACCTAGGATACACGTGCAGATTCTATCAAAAAAAAAAAAAAACCAGGATTCAGACGCGTATCCCGTGTTGCTGCACTTTTTCTCTTCTGCAGTCACATAAGAAGTACTTTCCCCTATATAGGGTAAAAGATTTATCTAGTCAATGGAGATAAGTTATCTCTGGTGTGCCCAAAACGACGTATTTCTCTAGTCAATGGAGATAAGTTATCTCTGGTGTGCCCAAAACGACGTCGTTTTGGGACGAAAATTAAGGTATTTTTGTAATTATAATATATTACAGAGTTATATTAGTCTTTATAATTATTTTTTAATCTTATAACTCCAAAACGACGTCATTTTGAGCTCACTGGAGATAACTTTATAACTTTATCTCCAGTGACTGGAGAAATACTTTTTTCATATATATATGAGATTTATAATTATTATGTTGCAGAAAATTGATTGCATCATGTCATAGACAGATTGAAACCCGTGCCTCAAACTTTTTATTTTTTTATTTTATTTTTAAAATGACGGGACCCATGTATGTTGTCCGTAGGAAAATACAAACTTTCCTGTAACATGACAATCGTAATCCCTTATATATATATGGAAAAAATATTTGTCCTTTTAAAGGATACAATTTATATTGTTTTAGTTTCTAACACTATGTATTCTGGGTCGCACACAGTTATAATATGAATAATTATTTTTCTCTCTCTCCTCAGTCACTTCAGCTGACATTGGGAGATTTTTTTTTCATATTATAACTAGGGGTGTTCATCAACCGATCCAAACCGATTCAAACCGCGGTAACCGAACCAAAAAACCGATAATCGAATAAACTGAAAACCGAAAAACCAAGAACTGAATAAAAATCGCAAATTTTAATTGGATTGGATCGATTTTCGGATGGGTTGATGAAAACCGATCCAATATATTAATTCTCCTCTACCTACTTGGGTTTTTCCTTCCATCATAGCCCAAAATTTTTTAAACCCAAGACCTATTAACCCATCAACTAAACCCAAGAAAAAACCTAGTCACATCTGATCAACAAAAAATTATTTGTGTAAAGCTTCATATCTCATTGCAAAAAAAAAAAAAACTATATTATCATTTACTTTTCTGTTTAATTTTTTTTTGCAAAGCCTATTACACAAAAAAATTTATTTGCACAATAACCATAAAACAAATTTTAAGATTTTCAAAAAACCGAAAACCGATCCAATCCAAACCGAAAAAATTGGATTGGATCGGATCAGATCTGAAAAATATTTCAAACCGAATGGATGATGACATGATCAAACCGAAGAGATTGGATTAGATTATTTTTGCTTCCAAAACCGATCCAATCCAGACCGCGAACACTCCTAATTATAACTATATACTACTTGTAGTTTTTTTTCTCTCCAGCCGATTGACTTGCAGCAAATAAATTCAGGGAATTATAACCCTACAAAGGTGGGTGAAAGTATTAAGTGCGAGAAATCAAAATCAATCAATGGTATAAGATTTATTGCTGAAAGTATTTGATAAGTCAAAATATTCCAAAAATATTGACTCAAGTTTCCTAATTCTATGTTTAGTTGATTGTCAATGATTCTTGGGAATGTGAATTAATTTTTTTTTTTTGATATTATGAATTGATTTTATAAAACTAACATTTGATGAATTTTTGAAAAAAAATAATGTTATGTTACAAAAAGGTCACAACTAGAGCTTTAATAAGAGATAATATTTTAGTCATGAAAATATTAAAACAGAGTTATTTATACTCTATAAATTATGTAAAATTTTCTCTTCAGTGAAAACCCATCTGGTGATATTATTTTATGAGATTTTTATTCATAGTTTTAATTTCTAAAAATCTCATTTTCTCATGAAAATTTTAGAAATCCTTATTACAAATATAAATAACTAGTATTCTAAACGTGAATTTCCTATCGCCCTTCGCTCGTACCTATTTTTAGACTAAGCATAACTAGTTAACTATGTTGTTGTAATTGCCATCAGGTCCATCAAAAACCAACAATGTACATAGCCACCCCACCACACTGCTATGAATGATGAACAACTTTCGGAGAGTGACAAGAGTCAAATGGTTTACGGCAAACTTTGAAACTGCTCTGCAGTAGTATCTTTATTCCTCACTAGTCCCGCTTCTATATGGTATTACACTCTTTGGCCTAAACAAGCTTTCCCTCGTTCCTCTTTAAAATCACAGTTATCTTTCCACTTAAAATATATTTTAGTTCTGTCTTGTACAATTTATATACCAATAAAACCAAAGCCAATGAATACTAAAAACATAAACTTTTTGAGGAATTCCTACTAACAGAACATTCATTCTCAAATGTGCTCTACTGAGTAGGATGACAGAGGAAGGTCACCAAAGACTGATATAGCATCTCAACTGGTCAGCAGGGTACAGTATCTCTCCCCAACTTTTCTTTGTTTTGCATTTTGCTTCTATTCCTTACAGGTTAGGATCTCAGGACCTTGTATCCGTGTATTGATGATCTTACTTTTTCTGAAGAATATGCCAAAAATGCTTATGTGGGTGTCTATTTATGGGGAAAATGACTTAAAGCTAGATGCTTTACCTTGTCTCCTTTTCTCTTTAACCATAATCTGCATTTCCCTTATTAGGGAATCTCATCTCAGTTTTCAGTTTTCACTTTTCCTGTTTTGGGTTTTTTGTGTTTTCAATTTCTTCACGGTTTCCCCAATAAGGTGTGTTATGTGTTGTGCAATTATTTGGCTTTGCACTATATTTTGTTCAGTTTTGGTTCTGACACTCGGATCCTTGTGTGAAGTAATCCTTCAGTGGTTGTTGGACTGTTGGGAGAAAGTTTTGGTTTTTTTCTTTATAAAAGTTCATCCTTTTCTACTGATTCATGAAACTTGATCCTTGTGGGAAATATTCCTTACGTGGTTGGACTGTTGGGAGAAAGTTTCGATTTTTTCTTATTAAAGATTTATCCTTTTTCTACTGATTCATAAAAGCTTGAATTTTTTAATATAAAAAAATAAGATAAGATAAACACAAGGAACTGCAGAAGATTACCCTTCTGTAAAGCTTGAGCATTTTTGGTTATTAGTATTGAGTAAGTATTTGTCAGTTTCTCTGTATTGTTTCGTGTTCTTCAGCTTTCTTGTTTCAAACTCTGAATTTCTACTTCCTTGGTTTATTGCCTACCCCTTTTTTGCTTGGGTATTGGAGACGCAAATACTGTTGACTGTGTTTCTTCTCCCTTCATGCAACCTTCAAATTTGGAAACTCATAAAGAGCACTTGTTGCCCTTTAGTGCTAAACTTTTGGGTTTTATAGTTTAACTGGTCGATTTATTTGAATAATATAGTAAAACTGCTGTATTGACTTAATTTTCCTATTAGGAGAGGTTACATTTACAATATATACAACTTACCCTAAATGAAAATAAGGAAACTAATTAATTATTTGTCAATCCTAATTCACAAATAATCAAAACAGATCCTATTTGATCCCTAAGAATAAGTGACTAGATGTGTTTCCTGAAATACAATGACATCCTAAGGATTTTCCACAACTACATAGGGTTTTCCATTCAATTTTATAAAGGTGATATTTTGACAAATTGTTTTCCTAGAATTAAAAGAAGAAGGAAGAAAGCATCAACATTTGATTGAGTTACATTATTTTTATCAATGGATTTGCTAATACTTTCCTTCTCTTTCTAGGGACATTTATCTTGAAATAGCAGTAATTAGAAAACATGGCACTGGGTAAGAATTCCCGAGGCGAGGGGAGGAAGTTATCCAATTACTGTTCGACAGTCTCTGTAACTGTGTTGGTTGCATTTTGTTTAGTTGGTATATGGATTGTAATGTCATCCATAGTTCCAATTCAGAATTCAGTGATGCAGGTATCTGAGACCATTGATGAGGTGAAAAATATAGCAAATGAAAGTGGTTCCAGGCAATTTGAAGATAGTTCAGGTGATATAGCAGAAGAATCAACTGGGAAAGATAGTCAGACCCATAAATCTCAGAGTGAAAGCCATGTACAAAACCAGGATGACCAAAAAGAAGTTGAAAAAGTGTCTGATAATACAGCTGAAGAAAACCAGCCAGAGGTTGTTAGGGACAGTTCAGTTGAAAAGAATGATTTGGAGAAAGGTCCTAGGAATACAAATCAGGAGAATTATCAAATGAGGCAGGTTGAGCCAAACACTTACGAGAAGGAGAAAGAATCAGATAGAAACTTGAATTCAGAATCTGTAGAATCAGAAACACTGGATGGTCAAATTATTGATGATGAACAAAGAGGGTCAGTGGAAAGTTTTAATGAAAGGAAATCTGACAAGAGCATAAATGATGACATATTAGGGACAGACAAGATTATGGGTGAAGTCACACAAGATGAGATGGTTGGTGAGACTGAGGAGGAGAAAATCAAGAAAAATCTGCTTTCAAAGACAAAACAAAGTACTGGAGAGAGTAACATTGTAAGCCATGAAAACAGTTCAGTTTCAAAGGATGTTTTTATGAATGGGACCCAGTCTGAAATATTGATTGAAGCTAGCTATGAAAATGGAACTTGGTCAACTCAAGCTGCAGAATCACAGCATGAGAAGGATTCACAGAAGTCTTCGATTTCTATTGTCAGCAACAAATATGAATGGAAGCTGTGTAATACAACTGCAGGATCAGAGTACATTCCTTGCCTTGACAATTGGCAAGCAATCAGAAAGCTTCAAAGTATACGACACTATGAACATCGAGAGAGGCACTGTCCTGATGAAGCTTCCACTTGTCTTGTTTCTCTACCTGAGGGCTATAGAAGCCCATTTAAGTGGCCCAAAAGCAGGGACATGGTATGTTACACATGAACTGGATGAAAGTCACATGTTGTTACTTAATATGAAACTCAGTAACTGTCACAAAATAAATATTGAAATTCAGTATTTCGGTGCCTATTGCAGATATGGTACAACAATGCTCCGCACACAAAGCTTGTAGAATCTAAGGGTCATCAAAACTGGGTCAAAGTAACTGGTGAATACCTCACTTTTCCTGGTGGTGGAACTCAGTTTAAACATGGTGCTCTTCATTACATTGAATTCATTCAGAAAGTAAGCCTTTCTCAGGTTTCTATGTTGCAATACTGTCATTCTCTTGCTAATGTGTTATGATGGATAGCAAATCGATCTTAAGTATGTTTCTTGTCGAAAACTTGGAACAAGATTCTTAATTATAGGAAAACAAAAACCTCTCATGTAAGTCATGAGCTGTGCACATAATATATCCATGCATGTCCCAATTAGGACAACTAGGTATGTCCTAATTGTAGGACTGGTTCAAACTTCAAACATTGTAAAAAATGTTAAATACATTAAATCAATCCTATTCCTAGGACAACTGGTTGTTGTTTTTCCTTTCCTTTTCGGTATATTTACCCTCTTCTAATTTAGTGCTCATGTGTATTTTGTATACCTTTATCATCTTAAGACATAGTAATAGTTGTCTTTGTCACAACCCATTGCAGGACGCGACCTTATCTCTCCTCACACTCTATTTTTCTATTTCCCTTTCTCTTCCTCTCTCTATCTCATGTTCTTCTCTCTTTCAATCTCAATTCTTAAAGTCAACTATTTGGCTTTCTCACCTTTCCTTTCTATTGTTTTTGTTATTAGGCAAATGGGTTTAGAATATAGAGGGTGTTACACTGATGTACTTCCCATTAGTCAAGCAACCTCTTCATGTTAGTACGTATCTCATTTAGCATTTCTTGTTCTGCTTTGCCATAACTGTTTCACATCACACTTTAAGCTTCTTTAATTTGCAAGCCTTTTCAAGTGTAAGGTCTACATTGTGGAATGAATTGTCTTTCGGATTTGTGCTATTAATTTTATTTTTTTTAAAGTCAGCATAGCACAACCTTCTTTTCGATAAATATGTTTCCATGAACTTTAACTCCTTAATTTAGTGAGTTTAACAAACTTGTGATTACATTAATCAGTGCCTTAGCCATCCTCCACTCATTTGATTGATATTGTTGAGATATATAGTCCCACATTGGTTGTATGTGCAACTAATGTGGAGTTTATAAGGTCTTGGGCACTCCCACCCTTTGAGCTAGCTTTTGGGGTGGTGTATCCCAAGCTTCTTTACATGGTATCAGAGCCTCGCCGCCCCCCACTTTCTCTTGTGGCGTTTCTTAGCACAGGTAGGCTGGACCTGTTGCATTGTCCACTCTTCAAGCCCAATGGGCTCTCGTGTGAGGGGGCGTGTTGAGATATATAGTCCCACATTGGTTGTATGTGCAACTAATGTGGAGTTTATAAGGTCTTGGGCACTCCCACCCTTTGAGCTAGCTTTTGGGGTGGTGTATCCCAAGCTTCTTTACAGATATATCCAGTTTTTCTCTTAAAATGGGTCCTTGTCTATTGATGCAGTCTCTTCCTAATATTGCATGGGGGAAGAGAACTCGTGTGATATTGGATGTTGGGTGTGGGGTAGCCAGCTTTGGAGGCTATCTGTTTGAAAAAGATGTTCTGACCATGTCATTTGCTCCAAAAGATGTGCACGAGGCACAAGTACAATTTGCGCTGGAACGGGGAATTCCTGCCACATTAGGTGTCATGGGCTCCAAAAGATTACCCTTCCCTGGTTCTGTCTTTGATCTTGTCCACTGTGCACGCTGTAGAGTCCCTTGGCACGAAGAAGGTGTGATAAGCTTTTTGATAAAATTTCCTTTTTCTCAATATTTTAATTTTACCACTTATGCTTGAGTCTTCTAGTATTACTCTATTGGTTGTACAATGCAGGTGGCAGGCTACTTTTAGAGCTTAATCGTGTCTTGCGACCTGGAGGTTACTTTGTATGGTCTGCTACTCCAGTGTATCAAAAGGATCCAGAAAATGTTGGGATTTGGAAAGGTAAAACCATTAGATCCAAATTCATTTTACTCCAAAAGAAATGAACTTACTATGGGTTGGCTTTATACAATAACCATTTTGTTGCAGCTATGGGTGAAATTACAAAGTCAATGTGCTGGGATCTGGTGGTAATTGGAAAGGACAAATTGAATGGAGTGGCGGCAGCAATATATAGAAAACCAACTGATAATGAATGCTATAACAGAAGACCAAAAATTGAGCCACCAATGTGCAATGAATCTGATGATCCAAATACAGCCTGGTACTTCTATTTTTGTTCTTTTTGGGCAATACACATAAATTGCATTCTCAAATTAATACACAAATTAAAAAACAATAATCCAAAAGAGCTGGAGTCTTTCTACAAGGAATTGAGTTTTATAATTTATGATGATATATACTTCAAATCAGTTTCTTCGTTGCCAAAATTTCATAAGCAATGGAATTAAACATCTTAAAATTAATTGCTCAGGTTGAAATTGTCTTGTATGCTATTGATCTCAAGGTTGTTGATAGTGCTTTACTTAGTTGGAGATTATTCCTTTTTGATGAAGTTGCTCTACTAATTTTTATGATATATTCCAACTTCCATATCTTCAGGAATATATCACTACAGGCATGCATGCACAAAGTGCCTGTAGGTGCATCAGAGCGTGGATCAAACTGGCCTGAGCAATGGCCATTAAGGTTGGAGAAACCACCTTACTGGTTAAACTCTCAGGCTGGTGTTTATGGAAGAGCTGCTCCAGTAGAATTCACTGCTGATTACAAGCATTGGAAAAACGTTCTTTCCCACTCATATTTGAATGGAATGGGTATCAATTGGTCTTCAGTAAGAAATGTCATGGACATGAGAGCTGTTTATGGAGGGTAAGATATTCTTTGTACTTATGCATATACCTGGTTCCCTTGTAACCTAGAATTCTCCAGAGGTCTTCAAAATGCAAATTCATTACTTTTGGGTTTTTTCCTTTGCATAAAAATGCAGTCTGGTGGAAAATCATTTTTTCATGGTGTATCTCTTTCTTTTCTCCCCTAAAAATGTTTCCATTAGCAGTAAGAGGAAAATGAGTAGATATTCTACTCTAGTACCCAATAATTTCATGTTGTGTTTGCAAGAGTGATTATCAGTTTTTTCAAGTACACTGCAGTATTTCACTCTTTTCCTTCTCTTTTATTTTTTTCCTTGTCCTTCTAACCCTTTTGAAATCAATGTTTGATTTGAATAATTTCTGCTATAAATTCTTTTAGGGTGCTATTAATCTCTGTTGCCGGAGAAAAGTTATCTCCAGCTGACACATGTTTTTCAGGATATGTATCCTATAAAACATGTGATTGCTGCAGATAACTTCTCTTTCCTGCAGCTGAAGAGATATATATCCCATTCTTTTATGTGAATAATTCCTTGTCCTAACTAGTTCCATAATAGACTCTCTTTTCTTTTGGAGAGGAAAGAGGGGGACTTCACAATCAAATAATTAACCTTGTTTATTATTATTTTTGCATTCTCTCGTGTCTTCAGGTTTGCTGCAGCACTCAAAAGTCTGAAATTTAATGTTTGGGTAATGAATGTGGTTCCAATTGATTCTCCTGACACACTGCCAATTATATATGAGCGTGGATTATTCGGTATTTATCATGATTGGTGTGAATCGTTCAATACCTACCCTAGATCTTATGATCTTCTACATGCTGATTCTTTATTCTCAACACTTAAGGAAAGGTATGTCAAGTAGTTTTTAAAATTGTCTACAAAGAAATCTCCTTAACCTTCTCTGATTTAGCTGATATATTTTTGGATTCAGGTGCAAAATAGTGGCAATGATTGCAGAAGTTGATAGGATGCTGAGACCAGAAGGATATTTGATCATAAGAGACAATGTTGAAACTATTGGTGAGATGGAGAGCATAGTTAAATCTCTACGTTGGGATATTCGATTGACCTATTCCAAACGTGAGGAGGGATTGCTTTGTGTTCAGAAGACATTATGGCGTCCAACAAAAGTTGAAACCGTTGTGTCAGCCATTGTCTGATTAGGATGCTTCACTATCTCAATTTCAAAGGCTGCCACACTCCTCCTTTTACTTCTATCAATGTTTGTTTTATGGAAGAATGTCATATGTAATAATTGTTTATTAATTATTATTATTATTATTTAATGTAAATCTATTGTTTTTATTCGTCTGGCACTGGCACCCCTAATAATTTTATTTATTTATTTTTATTGTTTATAGATTCATGTATTCATGTCATCAAATTTTTACCAATTCGTGGCATTTTAATACGAAACCATTCCAAATGTTATACCGGACTTCCTTTTATCTCGTACGTTGTATATGTTATTTTAAATTTTAAGTACTATTTTAAGCTTTTAATTTATTTATTAAATATTTTATAAAAAAGACAGCAACAATTCTATTGGAAACGATGGTTACAATATATCAATAATCAGTTTGTAAAATTTTATGATAAGTGTTTATTGAAATAATGTGCAAACTGATTATATATATATATATATATATATATATGTATTTTTTTTTTGAAAATCAAACTGATTATATTTGTTTCCATCAATATTAACATATGTATATCTTCCTTTTGAAGGTTTCGTCTTTTCTGAGAGTTGAGGAAAGGGAAGTAAAGAAACAAAGAGCAGAACTAGGAGCTATGAAGCTAGCTAGTAGCCACTAATTAATCTTGAACGGTCCCTTGCACAGTGCCTGCATTTTTTAATGCGTTTGTAGAATATTTTAAGAAAGCACTTCACCAATCAAAACGATAATAGTTCAATTAGTAGAATTGAGCATGTAAGAGTGAGAGAATATGTTCGATTCTATTTAGTAATTTTTAAAAGGGATTTAAAATCTTAATCTTGAGACTTATTCCAAATCAGACTAGTCAGTCGCGAAGTGATGAATCGATTGAAATGTTAAAAAAAAAAAAAAGAAGTACGCGACTTTTGAGGCTTTAACTATTAACTAATCAAAGGGATGCCTTAACGCTGTCCTTGAAAAACATCCACATTTTTCTGACACCACTGATACCAGTATCTTCCTACACTTAATAGTGTCGGGAAAACAGCATATAAAGTGTCAATCCGCTTTTCTTATTCTAATGTACCCAACTTATTCCTTAGTTAAGCCAGTTGAACTTTTGAGCTATAAGAAACTATTGAAAAGAAGCACTCTCCTCGTGTTTGCATTATTGACATTTAAGAATAATCCTACTAAGGTTTAGGTTTTGTCTTAGTTAAGCTAGTTCAGTAGTTCGCTGATAAATCTTTTACTCGGGACAAAAGTGACAATTTATTTATTCCTCAAATTTCTCACACATGCAAACTCAGATTCAACTAGTTTATTGGACAATGTAACGGCTTAGAATTATCAAATTCATCATTGTCTGCCATTTACACATCCTTCCCCAACCAAACAAGTTGGCAACCCCCCAACATTACTGAACATGTCTGTTGCCATAAGCCCTCTAAAGCTGCTCTTTTATAAGGCAAAGGATGGTTCTGTTCACTTCCTGAGTAGGAGTTAATAGTAGTACTCATCATCATGTCAGGTTCTTGGAGGCACCAGTTTTTGTTCTTGACTCTTCTTGCTCTTGTTGTTCTATCAGAAGGATCAAGATTGCCTAAGGAATACTGGAAACAGATGCTTCCCAAGAAGCTACCTTCTGCTTCCTCTTCTCCCTCTGGAGGCACAAATTCTGTGTTTGTCACGTCTTCCACAACCTTGAAAACTGATAGTCCTCCTTCATCGGATGGAAAGGTCTAATGTTAATTAATGCTCTAGTCCTTCACCTCAGAATCACACTGTTGTAGATTTATTAATCTGGGTCTGAACATAGTATCTTGTAAAGACAAATGAGTAATAACTCCTTATTAGGATAAATTTTTGTCAATAGCATTAATTTAGCATGAATGGATATGTTGGCAGGACTAGTAACTTGTAAAGTCTCTTCAGAACCATTTCGACTCTATATTCCAGGTTACTGTATTTTGTTTCATGTAACATCTTCATTATCAGTTATATTTTTCTCAGTATCTTATAGCATCTCAATTTTCTTGGAAAGTAAAGTAGATAGTATTGAAGTAATTCTTGTACATCAGTAGGCTTGCATAAAGAGGAGGAAAGCAGTTTTTTTATCTCATACAGTTCAGCTCTTCTCATAGAGGAATTCTTAGGAATATATTAATACCATTGGCACTCAAACTAACGGTTGACAAACAGTTTTTTGCTTGATGGCTTGATCTTATTCTTATGAAAGTCAGTAGAAATTTGCTAGTGTCCATTCAGAGTCTCAGACAAACAAGCTCCCTAATGGTATAGTAATGTTCCTGCTTTTTTGTAGCTTCATTTTTGCCCTAATGGGAAAGTAATTGAATTGTATGTGAATTTATATATAAAAAAGTTTAATACCACACTGTAAATAAATTTGATTTAGTGGAGTACCTGAGAAACAAAAAAGACGCAAATAGTAACTCCAAAAGAGAAGTACATTAGAAACGGAAGACAGATCTCAATTTGTTTGTGCTCATAACTAGTTAATGTAAGACTTTTCGCTCCACATACACAAATCTAGCAACACATGCTCTAAGTTTTTAGTAACTTATATAGTCTAGTGGTTACTATTAATTTTTTCTTTATATTGGAAACAAATTTCTTTAAATTCAGTTACGAATTCAACATAAAACAAAACAAAACAAAACAAAAAAGGTTGAACGAAATGAATGCGGGTAGGAAAAACAGCATGTTAACTGGTTACTATACATTGAAAGAATATCCAGAGGACAATCTGTTAAGCATTCACTCAAATCCAAAGCATAAAAGAACCTTTTTCAATATTCACAATCACACCATAGAAGTGTATGGAAACCATGCATCTACTAAGGATCCCCCTATTCTTTCACCAAAATAGTTCACTTCCAACAAAAGTAATCATCTTCCACCACCCAGCGACATCGAAATCCGGTTTAAGCTATCAAAGCCATATCTAATGCCATTTCCACCAGCACTATCTTCCACATTGAAAGCAGATGGTTCTGCTTTGAGCAAGTTCTCTTCTGAAGACAAATTGACACTTTCCCACCGTTGCTTTTCCATAACTTTTAGCCCCTCAAGTTCCCTTGCCACTTCTTTCATGGTGGGTCTCTCCTCTCCCCTCACCCTTAAACACCTTTTTGCAATATTGGAAACTTCCCTTAGTTGCTCAACATTTGCCTCATCTATTATATGGCTGTCCACAATGTTAAGTAACATACCCTCTTTCATTGAAGAAAGGAAGTACACTGCAAGGTTTCTATCTTCCTCTGGCCTTTCAAATGAGAGTGCCTTCTTTCCTGTCAGTAACTCTGCCAAGACAACCCCAAAGCTATAGACATCACTCTTCTCTGTTAAATGGCTTGTCTGAAAGTATTCTGGATCAAGATAACCCAGTGTCCCCTGCACCAAAGTGGTTAGCTGATTTTTATCAAGAGGAACAATCCTTGAAGCTCCAAAATCAGAAACCTTTGCAATGAGATTATGATCAAGTAGTATATTTGTAGTTTTCACATCTCTGTGTATGATTGGTGTAGAAGTAGCAGAATGCAAGTATGCCAGGGCCCCCGCAGCTTCTGTTGCTATTCTCAATCTTGTTTTCCATGTAAGTTTTACAGAATTGCTTTGATCATGAAGATGCTCATAGATAGTACCATTGGGGATGAATTCATAAACAAGCAAGGGAACTTGTGTCTCTAGACAACAGCCCAAGAGCTTTACCACATTCCTATGGTTTATTTGGGAAAGAATGATCACTTCATTGATGAATTGCTCAATCTGGCTTGGGTCACTTATTTTGGACTTCTTTATTGCTACAGTTCTGTTATCCTGTAATATTCCTCTGTAAACTGTTCCATGGCCACCTTGGCCTAGGACTCTTCCTTCATCAAAGTTGTTGGTGGCATCCTTTAACTCCTCCTCAGTGAAGACTTTAGCTGTTTCAGTTGACCCTCTATGCCTTGCTACCTGTTGTTGGAGTAATAAGCCACCATTTTGTTGAAAAAATTGTTCTTTAAGTTTGATGAGCTTTCTCTTCTTCAATGCCCAATACACATAAAAGCTTCCCATGAGCAGTGCTATGACCATTACACTAACACCTGGACATAAAACAAGTGGAAACATGGTCATTAATTTTCTTTCTATATATTTTGTCTTTTTGATGTCTCAACTTCACTTTGTTGCCGCTAACACACGTCAAAAATCAAAATGCACTATTCCTATATTTCCTGTCCTAACTTGCATAGCCTGAAGGACTACTGTTGTAAATGCAACCTGAATAGTACCAAAATCACCTTGAATATATGAATTTAAATTCACAACAGCAATTTATAACATGGATTACTTTTGTTGAGTACAAATGAAAAATCTTTAAACAATATCCATTGTTATAGTAAACTTGTTTGACATGAATGTGCTGAAATTCCAGCAGACAACAATATACTCACTCAAAGCAATCATCAGTATGATATCTCTCCTGGATTTGCGAAGGCATGTTGTTTTCCCATCTCCTTCATATCCTTTCGGACAAGAACAGTTATAGCCCCCAAGAACGTTGATGCATTTTGCCCCAGCAATGCAGTCGTTTGATACCATGCATTCATTAATATCTAAAAAGTTAAAAAAGAAAAATGTAAGCAATATTTCTTAAATAAAAAGTTTTAAACAAATAAATTTTGATCATAATAATTATAGAAATGAAGCAGAATCTAATCCCAACAAGAAATAAGAAATAAGAAATAATACCTTGGCAACCGTTAAGGAGGTAAGGGTTTCCCTGAAAACCATGAGAGCAATTGCAAAGGTAACCAGGTCCATCCATTGAATTGAAACATTCACTGTTCTGTGACACGCAGGCATAACTTGAAACATTTTTCTGAGCTTCTTGACACGTTTGGTTCCCCACTTCCCAATCCAACACAACAGGAAACGTTGTCTTCTCAAAGTTGACTAGGTCTGTGGAGGAGAAGTTGTAGGCTCCATCTTCAGCCAGAAAAGTATAACCGCAAGGATTGAAGTCAAGCACCCGGGTATGGTTAAACACGCTGCCAGAACCAAAGGAG